GGAGATTTTATATTAATTTTTAAAGTGAACAGTGCACAAGTTAGGGTAGTAGGTTTAAAAACGCCGGTCCCCAGGGTGATTTAAATGTTTAAACCACCGGTCCGCAATGTGTTAACAGAGATGAACAACGGGCTTATGAAGAACGGGTGGACAACTTAGACAACGACAACTGTGTTGAAGTGCCTGCACGAGAGTTAACAGCTGAACAACTATAAAAAATTACTGGAATGGTTGAAACCTTGTCAGAGCATAGTGTGACATGTCTAACTGTTGCTGGACAACGGAAGGTGGAAAGAGTTACCACGAAGACAGACACTTGTTAAACGGTCGGTTTCCAGGTTACGCAACAATGGAAATGAGGTTACGCAACCATAAAGAAAGTGGTGTTTCTCCGAGCTGAGCCAAAGCATGCTGGTTGTTATGCAGCAATAAACAACTCTCGGCAGCATTTCCCAGCAACGCCTGTAAACACAGCAATTATGCAACAGGGAAGCGAAGTGCATTTTCTGCTGTCCGGCTGAAGGTATATAAGAGAATTGGAATGCCTAAGCAGTTGAGTTGAATTGTAGCAGTCGCCAAGTTCAGTTGTAGCGAGTGAATTGGGAAGAAGACCAGAACGCGTGATTAGAGGCGATAGTGTGACAAGGTATTGGAAGTGTGTAATACAGTGACACTGGTATAGCTACCATATTGTACTGTGAATAAGTGAAGACTACTGAAGATAGAGTGAACATATTACTGTGTAGGGTTTATAAATCGTGTAAACCCACAACTGTGTTATAATTAATTGTAGTTACGATTTGTAGGTTGGTAAATAAACCAATTAACACTCCGAACTGCGTCTTCAGTAGACAAAACACGTTACAATATTATGGAAGTTGATCCCAATATTGAACATAGCCTTACAATTCACCGAATGATAAACAATGCAATTCGTTACTACAAAGAAATGTATGAAGAGAAAAGGCCAAATAAAAAATGTGCAGAAATGAATATTGCAATTGTTAGAGAATAAAAAATGAATTGCGAGAAACATGAATTTTTTAAAATTATTTCTAATGAAGACTTTTAAATTTATTAATGGTGTTTTATTTACTGAAAAATGGAGAATTTTTTTTGAACCAATTATCATTTTTTGTATGTATTTAGTTCCTCAATTAGTCCGCTTTCAAACAGTCCGGGATATTGGCGGAACTGATTACCTGGACTATGCGAGTTATTGCTGTACTTGGAAATCCCAGTCTATAGAAAAATCTTTGGTGAAAACTAAATTAATCATAGCAGCAATAGTTAGCAAGGGCTTTTGCGCTCTTCCTCAGTTCCTTCAGGCAAATGTTGCAGTAACACCTCAAATTAGGACATCACCAATTCCTTCCAAATCCATCCTAATTTCTTATTCATTAATCATCCTACCACTCACCAATACAAAGTTCAGGCTACTGACAATAACTAAACCATAATCAAAGAACCAGAGGGCATATAAAGAGTTAAGAGCTAACAACGGAAAGGATTGACACGGTTGGAGCAAAGGAGTAAGAACCGGCCTTTTATCCAACCAAGGATTCCATCTTATAAGTACAGTATGTGCCAAAAGATGCAGTACTGAAACTCGTGCATCTTGAACGTGCATGTGCATTTGTCGACGGGGCATAGCTCCAGCCACACATGTTCTCAGTAGTGAAAAGGAAGTAGTGTTGCGCAGTTGTTGGAAATGGGTCTCTCAACGGAGGGAAAAGTATTCATAGTTGAGTATTATTTCCGTTCATAAGGAAGTGGTTGTGAAGGGGGATGGAGTTTGAAAGGTGACAGAACAATTCCAAGAGAGATTTAATAAGACGGCACCAAGTAACACAGTTACGCTGTCTATTGTTATGAAATTTTGCCATTCTGGTAGTGTACTGTGTCAACGGAAGGGAAGTCTGGTCAACCAGTAACTGTTTCGACAATAGAGAATCATGCACATGTTCTTCAGTAGGTGCTGCATTCGTCCCAACAAAGTCCATAGCGAACGGCCTTGAAACTGAACGTCAGTGATACATCCGTTCGCGTTTTCAGCAGCCAGATTTTATTGTCTAGAAACCGCTACATAGTACATGTGTGACGATAGTGTGTCATCTCAGCACACGGTATATTAGGCCCCTATTTCATTGAGGATTCATTTCATTCACGTCTAACCCATCACTTACATTATGCATACAACGGTAAATCAACATGCTGATAGTGTGTATGTTAGATTCTTTCAGGAGAAATAAACTTACAGATGACAACAAGGTAATATTGTTTGTCTTTTCATTTCAGTAGTGTATATTTTGTGCATACTGTATGTTGGCAACTCTAACTCCAAATCTGGTAACCGTCAACACAGATAATGGCATCACAAATTTCCACAGCGCAAAACAAAATGGATATTATAATAGGCCTATTTCTTAAATGTGAAACAAGCAAGCTCTGTACAGAAGGCTCCTCCGTGCAGTGAGTGATACACAACTGGGAGAAGACCTTTTGCTGTGGTGAATACAATGTATATCACAGGAAAATGGACACTCCTGCCTAAGTATGCCTTTCTGTGTCTTCTAACTCTGGTATTCACTACAGACATCACAGGAGCATGGCTGCTCCCATTTCACACATGTTAACAAGCCCTCAGATTCTCTATTGCTATTAACGATAGAGATACTATCCTGTGAACATAATCCTCATCACAGGCAAATCAATGCCCCTCACCTTCATATACATGCAGCAATGTCTTCATATCATTGCATTTACTTAATTATTTATGCCACACATCAACGGGACAGGGATGAGCCAACATCCATTCAGTGCCCTGGAAGAAAAAAGAGCTGAATATTCCGTGATACCTCAATACAAGGAAGAGGAGTAAGTCTGGAAAATGCCATAAGTGTCTGTTGAACTCAAATTTAATTAATCGTAACTCAAATGCTAGTTATGAACAATTTAAGATTCATTATAACAATGGCGGTAATGTCACAAATGACACCAGATTACAGCTTACCAGTATGATGTCCGAGGAACTGAAATGAAGCATGCGTATAAATGCAAATAATACGAGTAAAACCAACATACAAGGGACCCTACTATCACCAGCATCGATAACAGGACTAACTGTATGCACCACAACTGCCAACATCATCCAGAGAGGCTTTAAGATAATCTAATAACCTTCAAAGCTATATACAATGAACTTTACTTTACAGCTTAATAGCAAGACTCTATACCATAAACATGAATATAAGAAGGCTACAGCAGAAAGGTAATAACTCACCTTAATTGACTTTACAACATACCAGTTTGAAGCCTTGGCCATTCCACTTATCATAAAACGACTGTTCCCAACATGCCACAAGCACACTGGAACCTTATATTTCATTTGTGGCACCTCATCAGGAACAGAACCCGCAGGTGAATCTTGAATTAGGTACAGGCTTTTCTTCCCTACATAAGACAATCACATCAGCAGTTAAGAAGGAAGAGTTTGTTACCAATAGGTCATATGTGATACTCAGTGGTAGCTAGTCTGATATAATTGCTCTGAATGTTCATGCCCCAGCAGAGGATAAAACTAATATGACGGCCAGTTCCTACAGGGAACCAAAATGTTGTGGGATGTCATTATATGAAGAGACAACCACTTGTTGAACTGTTCTATAATATTTATCACAGTTGCACAGTATAAAAAGATGAACTTGAGTTTGAAGAACTGAAGAATAATAATAGTGAACTCCTTGAACACTGAACTAGAATTGTAGAACTGTAGAAATCTAGAACTGTAAACTTCCAAGTCCAAGTCACATTGCGACTGATGGTCAGTCAGTCAGTCTATTTACTGTCCTGTTCATTTGGAGCATCCTCTCTGACGAGAGGTCGGGTCTGTCATTTGTCAGTCATAGTCTGTGTTAGTAAGTCCATTGTCAGTATTTACATATATTTACAAATTTAATCTTAATTCCTATTTCTATGTACAATATATACAAGTCCTCTGTCAATCCAGGCTCAGTACAGCAGATTTTGCCCTATTTCTACCAGTATTCGCTACCACGGCAGTCTAGTCACTTGAACGGTAGTATGCCTGATCGGCACCAAGTTTAAGCCTCTTATACTTTCTGTGTCAGGCTTCGCCTTGTCCGATGTTGCGAACATTCTCATTTTCATGATTTTGTATGACTTCTGCTTGTTTCCTGCATAATTTTGTTATATAGTCATATACGTATGGGATTTTAAATGTCATGTGCAAATCGCGGACCGGTGTGTGCCTTGGAAAATTGCCAATGGTGTGGAGAACCTTGTTTTGCAGGCACTTCAATTTCACTAGATGAGTGTCTGCTGCGAACTCCCAGGCGGGACTAGCATAAGTCATTACAGATCAAATGAGAGCTTTAGGGAGTGTCATTTTAATGTTAGTTCTCAATCGCTCACTTTTGAATAAGGAATATACTTTAATGAATGTTCTGAAGACCTTGGCTTCGATCATTTCTATGTGCAATCTCCATGTAACTCTCTTATCGAAGATTACACCTAGATATTTTGTACTATTTACAAATGGAATATTTCGTCCATTTAGAGTGAGACAGGACTCAGGCGGTAGACGACTGATGCCTGCAGGTCCTCTTTGCATGCTGTGCAGATTCCGAGGAGAACCAGGGGTAGGGCTTCTCTCCAGTGTTGGTCTGCGTGGCACATGATGGCTGCCTTTAGAGTTCGGTGGAAACGTTCCACGAGTCCGTTAGTTGCTAGGTGGTGAGCAGTTGTCCGTGAGAGTTGAATGTCACAGAGCTTGGCCAGGGAGTGGAGAGTTGAGATTCAAACTGACATCTCTGGTCAGTGGTGATGGTCTGCGAGCAAACGAAGCAGGATATCCAGCCGGTCAGTAGGGCTCGTGCCACTGTGTCNACTCAATGTATCTTCTTATATAACCTAGAGTTGGACCTACAGAAAACATGTGTCAGCTGTGATGTCCAGGATGGGGATGACTTCTGGTCAGTGGGTGAAACGGTTGACTGCAGTGAGGCAGTATGTGCAGCCTCCTGACATCAGAAGGGGTCCCACAAGGCATCATGCTGAGGGCTGCATGGTACTGGGGTGGTAATTAGCCAGTAATTAACCAAAGGCAGTGACAAACCAGTGGTTTGAAACCTACCTGAGGTAAAACCAAAATCTCCTCTATTGGGATTCAGTAGTACTGACATACCATTGCTGGGGGCTAGTATCTCTAGCACACCTGCAGCAGGAGAAGGATTGGAACACCTAGTCTCTGGAGTAGGTGGACCCTGTCTAGCGAAGAAAGCCTTGTCTGGATGCGCTAGATGGAAGTTGAAAAGGCAAGAGCTGGGGCAAGCAAAGCAGGAACTGGGGGCAGTCAGCAACCAGGAAATGCAGGCTTGTCCAAGCAGGGAGAAACCCCCACTGGCACCTTTAAGAGTTCAAGGTTGGAGGGCAGTACCCCTACAGAAACAGCCATAACTCTGAAAAGGCCCAGGGACTCTAAGGGACCAGGGACTTACAAGGAGGCCCTGACCATTATAACGGTAGCTATCTTCAAGGAAACTTATCCTGAGGATAACCTTACCAAAGATGACCAGAATTCCATTCTTGAAGCATTGGGGGAGGTGTTATGTAGGACTCCAAAGGGAGAACTACCACACCTGAAATCCTACAGACTAGTGGAGGTGCACTTATTTATGCATGCACTGACCAACAGTCTGGCCAATGGCTCACCAAAGCCACTGACAACTACATGCTGGAATCAGGGGCCAGGCTGAAGGCTACTGATGCCAGGAACCTGCCCAAGCCTGTTAAAGTGGCTCTCTGGACTAGAGACAAAGTTGCCAAGAATCAGGAAGAGCTGCTGAAATGGATTGCAGACCTTAATCCAGGACTTCATACTGAGAACTGGAGGGTACTCAATAAGCAATCTGAGTCAAAAGGCCAGAGGCTTATCTTATTCATAGACCGGGACTCCCATACTATTATACAGAGGACCGGCTACAAAATATTCACAGGACTCTCACAGGGGACTGTTAAGGTGCTGAATGATCCTGAGGATCAGTGCCGGGCAGAACCTGCATCAGATACAGTATTTTCTAACTTGGTCTTTGAGGAGGAGGGAGATGATATACTCACTCACCTGGATGACCAAAGCAAAGCGGATCAGGGGACCCCTTCACACAGAACCCAGTCCAAGGATGGGGAGGGACATAAGCTGGAAATTGGCCCCTCCCCAATTGGAAGAGATCACTAATCCAAACACATACACCTAATACATCCATACACACAACACACACACACACAGCATGAAATTTCTTCAGATTAACCTACACCACAGCAAAGCTGCCATGGCAACTCTGTGCCAACAACTAGCTGAGGGTAAGGCAAATATAGCACTTATTCAGGAACCTTGGTTATATAAGGGTCAAATAAGGGGCTTAACTAACAGAGGGGGAACAGTTTACTCTGCTGTACCCAATAACAATGCAAGAGCCTGTGTTTATATCAGGAATCATGTTAATGCCTTGCTTTAGCTGGAACTCTGTTCTAGGGATGCAACAGCGGTAAGAATAACATATACATATCAAGGAGGCAGCAGGGAGCTGATTATTGCTTCAGTCTACCCTACTGCTGTAGCAGGAAAAAGCAACTCATCATTGGGTGTGATGCCAACGCGCACCACATCTTGTGGGGGAGCACTGGCACTAACCCAAGGGGAGAGAGCCTTATGGAATTTCTGGTGCGTTCAAACCTGAATATTCTAAACCTTGGTAACGAACCTACCTTTGTAGTTTGCAATAGGAAGGAGGTTATTGATTTGAAACTAGAGACAAATAACATAGGAAACCTGGTACGTAATTGGCATGTATCGGATGAGCCGTCTTTATCAGACAACAGATACACATACTTTCAAATAGGTAACATAATAACACAAGTTACCTTCAGGAATCCCAGGGGAATCAATTGGGAGTCATACAAGGGTGGCCTAAAGGTGAACCTGGAGATTATTTCGTGAAATATATGCACGATAAGGGACATAGATCGATCTGTTGACCAGTTGCAACGGGCCGTCATCTTGTCCTATTGTCACAATTGTCCAGCCAAGACCACTCACTTACCAAGAAATGCACCTTAGTAAGCGAAAAGGACAGGGCACTGGGACACCTATAAGCAAACCCTCACCTGTTACAATAAAGTCTGCGGGAACAGATGGTACTGTACCGGCACTTCTGCAGCAAGGGGCAGAACATTTAGTCCCACACCTATGCCGCACATTTAGAACCTGCATGGTGCATGGGTTTATCCCTATGACCTGGAGGAAAGTTAAAGTGACATTTATTCTGAAGCCCGGGAAACTTGATTATACCGAGGCTAAAATTTATTGTCCTATTAGCCTATCATCTTTCCTTTTGTAAACGATGGAGAAAGTGGCAGACAGACATATTAGGGACGTTGCATTGAAAATTCATCCTCTGCACCGAAACCAACATGCTTACCAAATAGTTAAATTTACTGAAACTGTATTGCATAATGTAGTAACACACATAGAGAATGCTATTGAACACAAGGATACTGCCCTTGGACCATTCCTTGATGTAGAGGGAGCCTTTGACACAAAAGGCTCCTGAAAGGCATGGCATTTAGCCCGCAAAATTCAGATGGATCTGTGCCATGCTGGAAAGCAGGAATATAAGTGCTACATTGCCTGGAAGACCCTGAGGGCGTCTGCGACAAGAGGGTGTCCGCAGGGGGGTGATCTCTCCCCTCTCCTGTGGAGCCTCGTTGTTGATGACCTTCTTTGGGAGCTCAACAGTACAGGCCACTTCACAGTAGGATATGCTGATGATATAGCAATCCTAATTAATGGGAACAGCCCTGTATATAGTTCTACAGCACAGGCCACTTTAAAGTATGTATAGCAATCCTAATTAATGGGAAATTCCTGCACACTGTATCAGAGGTCTTACAAACAGCCCTGTATACAGTTCAACAGTGGTGCCACAGGACAAACTTGTCTATCAATCCGAACAAGACAGTAATTCTACCCTTTACTAGGAAGAGGGATATAAAGGGGCTCAAAGTACCAATTCTCTTCAGTAAAGCGATCCAGCTATCCAGTGAAGTCAAGTACCTTGGATTAACATTAGACAAGGGGGTGACATGGAAACAACAGCTGGATAAGGCTATTAATAAGGCCTATAAAGCCTTCTGGACATGCAGAGGCACGTTTGGGAAGACTTGGGGACTGACACCAAGGGTGGTATATTGGATATACACTGCAGTGGTAAGACCCATAATCACCTATGCCGCCACTATATGGTGGCCTAGACTTAAACTAAAGACAAGTCAGGCAGAACTTAGTAAACTACAAAGAACAGCCTGTTTGGGAATTACAGGAGCAATGAGAACAGCTCCAACAGCTGCAATGGAAACCCTACTAGGACTCCCTCCACTACATTTGCAGATGGAAGCAGAGGCCAAGTTAGGAAATTACAGATTACATTGCACTGATCAATGGAGACCTAAATCCAAAGGTTTTGGACATGCATACATGACTCGGGACATGAAAAAAAGAACCCATCCTACAGATGGGATCTGATAAAATGCTACCAAAACATGTTTATGATAGACCCTTCACAATCAGATTTCCTGATAGAAGTGAATGGAAAGAGGGGTTTCAACCCAATAGAGAGGGGGGACTAATCTGGTATACAGATGGCT